CTCTTTACTTTTTTTGATATCTTGCTTCGTTTTCGAGCAAAAAATTAATAGCTTACGTGTGTGATTTTAATAAGTACTTGAACTGTGTAGTTGTCAATTCCTACTTGTCAAAATGAATTACCCAAATAGTGAGATGTGCGATATGCATTTTCTTTATAGCCTTGCCAACGGTAATGCATTAGCCGCCAGGCGCCTCTATGATGAACAGAAATACTCTAATCGTATAATTCCTCATCATACTATCTTCACTCGTCTTCATCAACGTCTTAGTGAAACTGGAAGTTTTCGAAAACTTACCGCAGGAAACCGGCGACCCCGCACAGCAATAACCCTACAATTGGAGGAAGATGTACCTCCTTCATGAAATTGAGGACACTCCAACAACAAGTACCAGACAGATTGCTAGAAACTTAAATGTAAGTCGTTCTACAATTTTCAGGATTTTAAAAAATAATCTTCTATACCCTTATCACATCCAACGGGTTCAATTTTACCGACTGATTTTCCGTTAAGATTAGATTTATGTCGATGTCGATGGATACGATAAAAAATTGGGGAAAATCCTCAATTTTTAGCAGAAGTACTATTCACGGATGAGGCTAATTTTTCATAATCATGTAAGTTTTCACTTACTGTATGGGTCGGAATTGTGGGAGATCACTTAATAGGCCTATTTTTTTACCACCGAGGCTTACTATAGATGTTTATCGCCGTTTTCTTGAGGATTAATTGTCCGTACTTTTGGAAGACATCACATTGCCATTAAGCTTGCAAATGTATTTTATGCACGATGGTGCTCCACTCCATTTCAATTTAGCTGCACGTGAATATTTGAACAATATCTACCCAAATCGCTGAATAGGTCGAAGAGGCACAAATTTCAACACTCTGTATCTCCGAAACGAAGCATTTTCGAACATAGGTTTATAGGAATTTTCTATCTTATTTTTAGTCAAGGAAAATCCCCCTGAATTTTTTCGCAATATTAATGGGACACCCTGTATAACTAACTCTAGCATAAGACATTGAAGAAATTAAATTAAAAAATGCAATGTATTACAGTATTTGAAGAACAGGTGGCAAATTAGATTAATCATAAGTCTAGAATCGAATCTACTACGTGATTTTTCACACGTATCCTCAAAATCCGACAGAAAATTTCCCAAAAACTTCACTTTTGTTGACACAGCTGAAGAGGTCCAGAACCAAAAAAAAATTCCACGAACAAACAAATCCACGATGTGGGCGATCGAATTAGATTCCAAATCGCCTAATTTATAAACATCCCGGACGATATAAACACGCCAATATCAGATGAAATATGAATTGCTGATATATAAAAAAGCTATAAAGTGTAATGGGAAGGCTATTAGGAATATGAAAACAGATTCGTAGTATAGCTTCCAAGAATGAGATCTGTAGGGTGTGCTAATAAACAAAGAGCAGAGATCCATTCTCAGAGGATGTTTTTATTCGAACCAACTCATTCTACACTCATAAAAGATTTACTAATAGTAACAAATTCTGAGCCGAACAGTTTTTTTTATAGATCGGCACAAATAAGTTTACGTCTGAGATAGCTCCGCCCACAAACGCGTACTGAACATGGTAAGAGAAGTTAGTAAATCTACGAATAGGATAGAGTACTTAGGGCTATATTAAAGTTTCCAAAACGGCTTCGAAATGGTTGTGTTTTGAAAGAAAGTGACAAACAAAAAGTTAACAGCAAAGCCGTCTGTTAAGGAACATGACAAGGTACGAGAAACTTAGATGACTTCGATATGGCTCTCCTGCAACGTATTGTCGTCAATTTTTACACCATAGGGGAAACGGTGTACACCATTAAAAAGGTTAATCAAAAATTTGTCAAGAAAATGGTTTTTCGGTAGGTAAAAACTAGAAACACCGAAAACTTGTAGAGAAACCCGAAATCCAGCTGCAGTGATTACATTCCTTAAAAAGCACGAAGCGTTGTAGAAAAAAACAGGCCAATTATTTTCATGAATGAGACTTTATTCATTTTTCTCACACGCATAGTAGTGGGTGGAGTCACAGAACAAATTATGTCTTATGGCCGTTTCAAAAGGTCAAAGACTTATTATATTAAATATTGGAAGTGAACATGAATTAGTGCCCAATGCATACTTAACATCAATTAATAAGTTCATAGTATGATATATAGAAGGCGCTACTATTGATTAATTTTTTATGTTAAAGTTTTTTCAATTGCAAATACAATTAAGTATTTTTTGTTACTTTTTATAACAAATGTGTCGGAAAAAAATAAAATAACGAAATGTTTTCTGAAACTACTTCAAAGCAAAAAGTTTTGAAAGTCAATAATCGATAATAAAAAGCATTCCGAACATTTTGTAACATTTGCTTCTCATCCCTGACTTTTTGTTGATGCTCGTCGATGTCGTTAGATTTAGTAGCATAAAACTAGCTTTTTAGATATCCCCATAAAAAAATCTAATGGGGTAAGATCGGGTGATCTTGCTGGCCACTCAATTTGTTTCACAACACATCATAACTAAACCTCATATGTAGGTATGTTTCCCAGATCGATAAAGTGTTTGTCAATCTTTTTCTCTGTGTAGGATCTCAACTTAAGTTCCACATAGACTTTACGAACGGGAGCATAGAAAATCTTTTCCTAGCGGATGTTATTTGTGTATGATGCCGTACGGGAAACCCGGAAGGGTTTAATTATTTACACACTTGTTGTTTGCGGTCAACGTATGAAACTGAATCTTTGTTTACTCCAAGTTTTTTATTTATAAATTTACAAATCTGGGACGGCCTCTAATTTAGAACCATTCTCCTGTCTTCGCGGTACATATTGGCGTTTTAATCCTATCCCAAAAATCACGAACGTGTTGCTTTCAAACAATCACGTGTGATTCACGGATCTGACATTTAAGCCGATTTTAAGCAAAGCTTGTTTACTAATTCCGTTTACAAGTTCTGATTCTGATTTGAAAGCATGGAGAAATATATATTGTAATGTGTAATAAATAATTTTTACAAAATTCAACAATATTGGAAACATTTTCTCACATAATACTGATACATATTTTTGATATTGTACACCATTTCAATATATTTTGTGCTATGTACAACTTAACAGTACAACTTAAAAAAGGGGAAATGTATCAATGTATATAATGTATGCAAGGTGTTAGAAACTTGTATATTCCATTGATAGAAATAGTTTGCAAATATACCTAATTTTATTAATACCATCCACAATTATACGAAGAACATTTTCGGAACCTCTGGAGTACACAAATCGCCACACAAACATATATACCATATACAGGTCTGGTCGCCCAGTTGAAGCATGCGCGCGCGGGCAAACGGCGAACAAACACAGCCGCACTGGGCGACTGGGTCATAAATTTCAGTTGTAGAGAAATTGCCTAGCAGTGCAGTGCAGCAATGTGCAATTTGGTGTGACTCAGATAATTTTAATTTATTATAGGCACTTTCTATTAATCATTCATACTACAAATACGAAAGGGAGAAATAAGAGGGATATTTTATTTACTAATATTGTTACAACATGGCATTTTCAAGACCTTTTGAAACGGAACAAAACGAAATACCGCCAGACGATATTGAATTAGTAGAACCTGTTGTTGATGAAACATATTTAGAATTAAAAAATAAAGATTTACATGTTCAATGTCAGCGTCAGCATTTGAAATATTTACGATTGTTTAAAAAATATATGTTGGCGCAACCATCTACGGTCACAACTAGTTTTTTTGCAGTATGTAAGTCGACGATGGTTCCAGAGGTACTCAATAAGGTTTAACAATTTTTACTATTATTAATGCCGATTATGGGTTTATAATTCATTCTATGTACTATTAAAAAAACCCTTTTTTAATTTTCTCCAATTTCATTTGATAAGGATTTAATACCATTTGATAATTTAATTTAGCTTAATACCTAAGTGAAGTGAATGTATAAGATCTAATAAATAACAAAAACAATTATTGTGATTTTCAACTCAATACCTGTAACATTGAGAAAACAAAAATATATAATTTTTAATGAATCGCATTACCTTAACATAAATTTTCACGTGTTTATATATTTTGTATTCGGTTTCTGGAACATCAAAACAGCTATGTTCTACTGATCTGCAATCTGACAGATATTAGTTGGTGAAATTAGATGTTTTGAGAAATATTAATTTACGCCTTGGTATCTATAAATAAGCTCATAATGGATATTTATACTCGCATTAATTGTACATGTTGGTACAGTTGGTAGAATTATAATTTATTTTTTGGAAACTTGATAATCTTTTATGCGTATTTATTTTATAGGTTTCCAAAACCTGAAATTTGTAATATTTACTAACTAACCCATTTCGTTAATAATCTAATTGAGAAATGTAGTCCAGACTATTTTAAAGCAAATATGTATCTACTTTCAATTGGGACCATATTTTTTTGCTAAACGTTTCACACAATATTAGAATCGTTATATATTGTATAAAATGTCTGTCATGTTTCGTTAGAATTCGTCAAAATAGTATTATAGTGAGCGAATGAAGACGTATTGTACTGAAAGCCGTAAAATTAGGAACTTTCATTCTACAGCGTCTTACTCTGCGGAATAGATGGCAGTGCCAATAGTAGCGGCTAGCGATTTAAAACTAAACCCTTTATAAATAAATTGGCGAATTAATTTAACTTCGTGAACTTTATGAATGTAAAACAGCTATAAAAATTTTAAAATAACAGACAGCACATCCTCAAACAAGCCGCGTGATCATAATTCATAACAAGATCTAGCCCTCTTGACCTCCCGCAAACATTTCAATTAATTGGGTCAATATTTTCACGATATGCAGCTTGCAGCGACTACACTTTGATATTCGCCGATCCACAATCAAAACCGAACGCAACAGACCCATTAACAGGCCAGCCAAACAATCTGCGAACGACGTAATCTCTACAATAGTATGGAAAAAATTTACTTACCGAAACGTCCACCAGATGTTGAAACACATGGTGTTCAGCCAGAAGAAGGCGGACAAGTAGAGGAAATGCATGAATACCGCTGCAACAAACAAAAAATAACGTTAGTTTCAAGGGTATAATAACAACAACGAAAAACGGGCTGAATCATGGCTTTGGCACAGATTGCTAGTGGGATAATTTAAGGGTATCGTAGGGAATTATTCCCATAGCTTTTAACATAAATTAGATAGGTCTAACAGTAACTCAAATGTATCTACCTATGCCAAAAGTGATCACAAAAGTAGTTTTTAAAGAACAGGGATAATTTCAGATTCTGAAAATTTTTGGACGCCCTGTATGTTTTATTACATATTTGATTACTTACCCATGGCTTCAAAACTTTTTATCAAGAATAACTTTTCTCGAAGAATATTAAATTTTAATGAAAAAAATAAAGCAAAACTAATAACAGTTACATTCAAATATGTTAAAACAATAAAAACTGTTCTTCATCTTTGTGAAATAAACGTCTTAAGTGGAATATTAAACTGTTCTCTATGACTTTTAGGGATGACTTTGTGAGAAAACGGGATAAATAAAAGATACTTAACATTTTGCTCGTGTAAAAATATAAAATATCACATGCAAAACAATATAAAACTATAAATTCATATATGTATTACATTACACAAAGCTTCACCGATTTTCTGTTTTTATTTGAATGGGCATTTCTGCCATACTGAAACGATAAAAATAAATCAATAACCACGTCAAAATACATAGATCGGTCAAGGGGTTGATTTTATAAATTTAGTTTGGCCTAATTTCAAGTATCTCCTTTTTTCAGTGTAAGATTTTTGGTTAGGTAGAACTATTTTCATAAAAATAACCCTTACTCATCCTTTTGAAGCAAGGGTTTATTTTTCTCACAGATGGCAAAATATTCAATAAATTACGAAATTATGCCAAAAATAAATAACTTCGGATAATATTCTGTAAACATAATCTTTTAATTTTGTATCTCACTTTTCGGTCAACTTTTTGATAACATTATCCTTAATGTAATAAGGGTGTGGAAAACTGTTCCAATACTAACCCCAATTCTTTTTAATTTTTCGGATAAATCTTGTATATATACGATATTTTGTTGTTAACTTTCACAATTATCTATTTAAAATTTAAAAAAGTGGCGGTACCGATATCGCTAATAATTTTTCAAAATCAGTAAAAAAAGGATATTTAGCGTCCCTCCAGAAGGTTAGGGCGGACTAAATTGATGGAAAAAAAAATTCGAAAATTTTTTTCAGAGAAGAAAAAGAGTAGTTTTGAAAAAAAAACAGTTTATTAAGTGATTACAGACTGCACAAAAATTTATTAGAAATTTGTCTCAATAAATAGTATGAATCGGGGTCGAAATCTGGTTTAGGTCATGAACTTTAATTTTAGTTTAATTAAAAGTTGATGAACAGAAGCATAGGACAGCAAAGCTGAATCGTGTTGGAAACAATTGGATTTTGCTTTCTTCAACGTCCGAAAGGTTTTCTAAGATTTCTAAGATTATTTCGAAAACTTTTCGAATTTTTTTCATCAATTTAAACGTTATTTCCGATAGTGAGAAAACCTTAAAAAAAATGTGTTATACTCAAAAAACGTGACCCTTTAATTTTTTTCAAAGATTTGACTTTGAAACAAAGAAAGGGTTCGCTAGATCGAGATGAAACTTTACAAGCTTCTTCTGGGTATATCAAACTGTAAAAGTCATGCTTAACATTAGACATTTCATGAATATTTCCAATTTAGCCGTCAATTTTTTTTTATTCCCGATACGACTATTTTTCACCTAAATACAAGTGTCAAAAATCACGGAAAAATTTCGGAAATTCTTGTGACACTTTAACTTTTTGCATTAGTATATATCTAGTGCAACAAACATAACACATATTTAAATTTTTGAAATTTGAAAAACTTAGATTTCAAAAAAGATAAAAAATACAGGGTGTTCTATTTACAAAAACGTAACTTAGGTACATCTAGAAATAGCAATGAGATGTTCAATTGTTTTTTTCTACAAATTAATTTGTCCCTCTAGACAACAAATGAATTTTATAGGAAACGTTTTCCCTAAAGTTAAAAATCAAAAAATGATCACCCCAATTTTAGAAACTGTAAAATAAGATAATTTATTGGATTAAGTTAGATTATGTAAATATTTTGCATGCATTTGTTATCTTTACGTACTTTACATTATTATATTCTTCCATTAATTATATCATTTAGGTTATACTTGTAGATACAAAAAAATGTTTAATAAATAAATAAATAAATACATTTTTGTCAAATTTAAAGGTTCCTCTATCTTTTCATTTCTAATAAGAAAAATGTTTGTATTTTAATATTACATTTATTGGTGACGTCAAAAAATTATTAGTCTATATTCTTTCGTTGTCGGCTCATAAACCCGCCATTCTAGCTAAAAAAAAACGATTTAGGTGAAAAAAGAACTGATTAATACAAAATTTCAAGTCACGGAAGATGATTTCTTTATTAAAATATCTACACTACTACTACATGACTGTAATTTAACACTACTGACGTATTAACCGTTCCACAAATATTTTTTTAATGAAGGTCGAATTCATTCATCATTTTTCTTACAAATTCTTAGAATATTAATAGTAGTGTGGCTTCTTTCAAGAGATTCTTAGAAATTAAGGTAAATAAACAGTTCTTGATAAACTCTTCACTGGAGTTCTTCCTTGTTTAATAATAAATTTGTATAAATTTCACGATATAAGTACTTACAGGAATTTTTAGTACACCAACTTCAAGAAATGTTTAAATAATACAAATAAATCACTTTCTGGGATGTCCTTTTTATTTCCCACTTTCCAATGAATCGTTTCACGAATAAATAAATGAAAAAATTTGAGAGAAAAACTTACTTCAAAATATAAACAAACAGTTTTTTTACAATATGACTTTGAAAAAGATGGCAAGGTATATTTTTTATTTCATGCTATTTAAAGTCAACAAAGAGGCAGTGTCGGTTCAAAGTCACAATAAACATTGAGGTATTCGTTTTGTTTATGGCTGGTAAATTTAACGAAAGCCGTTAGTAGTGACAGATCAATTAACGTCAATTTGACCATCTATTTGCGTCAACCTTGTATTTGAATTATATGCCACATTTCATGTAAAATTATAATAGATCCAAAACAATTAGTTTGCAGCCAGAAAAGTAATAGGAAGATTTAAAAATAAAACCCTCTTTCCTTAGACGTTCATCTAGCTATATATATATATATGCTTTATGATAAAATTGTTTTATTGAATTCTTATCGTATTTATTTAGTTATAAAAGCATCCTAGCAAATGCTTCGTACAGCAGCGAACGCTTTTCCTGAGGTGCTTAAGGTCGATCATGTTTCTATAAAAACGGCGTTTCTTCCGAGAACGCAATTCTCGTTATGGGTGCAGCTTCTCGATGTTTTATTGTTTCTCAGCTGTAATTTGTCATCATTTACCCACCATTCCGACTTCTATTTTCGTACCTGATTGTGAGAAAACAGATTAAACAAATGTCAACCTTGGTATAATTGACTAACAGGAGAGTTTATATCGGTCTCTCTCCTAATTCTAGTAACAAATAGCTAAATAATACTGCAATATTTCCAATATTTTAAAACGTATAGTTTCTACGATCCTGTCAAAAGTGACACCGCATACTAATGATTTCGCAAAAACTCTTTCGGTTTCATACGCCAACTTCTGGTCTAAATTAGTTATTGTATGAGATACAAAGTCGCTCACGTAACATTCTATCCCCCTTATCTATTTCTACCTGTCTACGAAAAATGGTAAAGACAAATGTAGGTAATTTTGTTACGATATCACAGAATTACTCTCGAAAAACAGTACAGTAATCACTACAACAATGTATTACAAACAGACTTTCGAATACAGTCCGGCTTCAAAAAAACACATTTTTAACTAGTCGTTTTCTCTATGACTTTAAACTTTCGATATAAGTTTGTGTCATCAGTTAACTCAATTGTTGCTCTTTTTTCACCCCTTTAAATTTTTGACATAAGCTCATTAACACCGTATATAGGAAAACAATTGACTCTAGCGTAAAAAAGATATAAACAAAACTTTCGGTTTTTTTTTAATGAAACACTGTATATTTGTCGCTTATAGGAATTATCTTATCTCTTAACGGTAAGAGATATGAAGTAGCTTAGTGGGGGGGCTTAAATCTTCATTTTTAACCTTTACCAAAACGAAAATGTTTTTGAACACTAACTGAAATTTTTTAAAGAATAAATTCAGTTGGCGTTTTGGTTGTTCATATGTACTTTTAAGAATTAATTTGTAATAATAAAATTAAAATTGTAATAATCTTTTAATTTTGACTTATTGAGTTATGTAAGACCAAGTGATGGTAATAGTTAATAATAATGTTTTATTGTAACGCGTGGTGGTAATAGTTTAAATAACTAGATGGATTTCACAGGGTCTAACTCTTTTACACTTAGGGTCTACACTTACAGTGTACGATAATTCAGTAAACAAAGAAATCTAAATAAAAAATTTAGATAAATTTGGAACGAATACACTGAAGATGAATTTTTCGAGACAAAACGTCTGAATCTGGTTCGGGCTGAGGCAGTACAGTATTGTTGTCATATAATGTCATAAAGGGTTGCAAAAAAATGTAATAAAATTTCTAGGGTCGTATTTAAAAAAATGAAATTGATGATGGTCCTGGAGAGACGAAAGGTTACATATAAAAATTGATTATGCCATTCGACAGAGGGCAAAAAGTGGCAATTTTTGACACTAACTACTAAAAAACTGATGTAAATAACACAGATAACAGGTAAAAACTACCGCAACGACGGATTTCAGTATTAGGAGTCACATGGCTCTCCATGCGTATTGCGAATGACGCTAGAGACTACAGTTGTCCAGCTATGTAGTGATTGAATGTACTATAACTTCAATAATTTTTTTCTCAGAAACTATAAGGATTTTACAAAAATTGTTTTTACAATATTGACTCCATTTCTCATGCCGCATCTATTCCCAATTTTTTTTGGA